AATTCACTTATTCCCTAAATCCATTCAGTGATTCCTAGATGGATTATGAGTCAATGTAAGGACCTCTATTGAAGAAGTGGGATTCCTGTAACAGAAATAATGGGTATTTTTGTAATCAGATCCATGAATAATTAGGCATCTTTGAAGTATCAGATAAGTCACCTGTTGCAAAAGTGATAAATAATACGCCCAAGTTTTAGCCACTATCATGAACGCCCAAATCCTTAGCCTTCTACCTGCCATGATGGTGAACTTCTAGTTACAGTCTCTGAAGTGGGACAAAGGTAGGCAAATCTGCAGTGGGTGTTATTTCAGGGTCTGGCTCCCTCTCTATTCCAGCTAAGGACTCTTTGTGATTGTAAGTGAAGGTCTACATTAGAACATGAGAAGCCCTCTGTCAGCCTCCAAACAACATTCCCCAATGCCTGCAAACAGGTACAGTGTATGTCCTGCTCTACCACATTCACAGCTTAATCACTAATAGCACCCCTTTCATTCTCAAAAGTGTCTTGTTTGAACAATAAGTATAGGTTAGTATAATTAGCCACTACTTATCTAGAGGCAATTAAAGGGAAACTGAAAAGACAGTAAAGAGAGGTAAGAATTTTCTCCCTCCGGGTTAGAATAGGATTGATAAACATACTATCTCTGGATCATTTTTTTTTAAACCTAGTCCCCATTCAAGTACCTATTTGACTTTCTAAAATAGCAGGTGTCCCAGACTAATGGGAAGACTACCAAGCTTTTTCTTCTGCCACATCACTGTGAGTGAAGGAGACCTCATTTGAAAGTGGACTTTAAAACATCCTATATTGGAAAAATCAGCAAATTTTAAAGCATAAATAACACTGTACAAATGCCTCCAACACCTAATGGTATATCCTTCATTTCTTCCTCCTCAGGGATAATAGAGGAAGGATATTTCAAGTCAGCACAATAAACTCATCCTCCCAAATATTTGTCTAACCGTGGTGCTTCCTGGCTTAAAGAATGAGTGCTTTAGAATCACACATACAGAAAAACATTCCCTTAAATTCCCTAGAAAACATTCAAGTAGACTGTAAACCATGCTCTGTGATCAACTCTTGCCAACAAATACTCCCCAGTGGCAGAGAATTCCATTTAAGAGTAAGTCAGGTATCAATCACATATTTAAAAATACAGTCCACAAGTACAGCAGAGCAGGCACAAAAATTGCATCTACTGTAAATGTGCTCCCATTGTCTTCCAGACATATAAGGAGGATATTCTCTCTGCCTCTCCCTGAATCATCACATTGTAATATCGCTCATTTAAATATGAACATAAAATACAAACAGTGTCAAGCTAAAACCAGTGGTAGTATGAGTCTGATAAAATTGCAGAGGCTAAGATGCCACACCACATTTACAGAGCATACTCTATGTGTCATCCAAAGGAGCAGGATTAGGAGCCTGTACTGGGGCTCTGTCACACTCATAATTCTCTCTCTAACACTCCTTTTATCAGTAAGTGAAAACAGCAGTATGTGTCTCCTCCTGGTGAGTTTTTCAAATGAAAATGAAGAAAGAAATTTCCAATTCCATCTATGTCTGAAAAGAGAAAATGGTTTTGCCTTTCTCTCTCCCTCTCTCAAATGTCTTTGGAATTGACTTATATTTAATAAAACATACCAATAACAACCTCTTTGAAAGGTATATTAAAATTAGAGGAAAAATTTCCTCAGGGAAGGCTTGTTTTGCAAGTCTCAGGCTAAAACTTTTACTGCTAAAATCAAATGAAATTTAGAGATTCAACAATATTATAAAAATTATTGCCCTTTTAAGGAATATTCTTTTGATAAGCAGTTTTCACTAACCATCAAATTACTTTGCTGATAAGAAAATCCAGGCTTTTTTTTTTTTCAAATGTGAAGTTTAATGTGAAATTTCTTCTTTATAAATCTAGTGATATTGTGGTAGTATAATATTTTATTTCTAATATTTATTAAGTGTGTCTATATTTTGGCTACTTTGACACATTATCTTATTTAAACCTGCAATAGTCCTATAATGTATATCGTTTTATTAACCCATTCAATCAAAAGAAAAATAAAGGTCCAAGCTGCCTGCCAAATATCACTAGATAGTATATAATGTTGTTCATAAACATCATGCTATACCAACATCCTAGAAAGAAATATTATTTTAAAGGTCCACTTGAGCACTGAAAATAACATCTGAGTTTAGTGCACATGAAATGTAGCTTTTAGGTTTATCATAAAATAGATTTGCTTACAAATAATGAAAACAATTTAAAATATAGATAATAAGTATAAAAACCAGATTAAACGATAATCATGAAACAAGATAACAATGTCCTAACACTGATCGCAATATCTGTAGTGAGGAAAGTGAGACCTTTACTCTGCCACTATCACATCGCACACTCCAGGAGCACTGCCTGCACTTAGTTTGGTTTTGACCTTGAAAAAGGACACAGAGAATTCCTGTTGAACCAAAGGCAGCATAATTTAGGAGATGGGAATTTAGGTTCTGGAATCTAATATCTTGGTTCAAACCCAAGCCATGCCATTAAGAAGTTACCTCTCCCTGTCCTCTCACTGCCCCTGTTCTCTATGCTGGACAATGATGAGGATGAGGATGATGATATTGAGAAGAAGAAGAAGAAAAAGAGCCTTTTTTACAGGTTTGCCAGGAGAATTTAATAAAATTAGACATTTAGTAGGCTGTGAATATAGAGCACTTGACTAGTGCTTATGTGAGGCCCTGAGTTCTAACTCCTACATTGAAAAAAAAAATTACTAAGGTAAAAGACAAGCATTCAATTAAACTGCTAATATATTCAAAGGAAGGTAAGAATAAAGTGATTTGAAATATTATCATGCAAGGAACAAATGAACAGAATTTAGGAAAGTAGAAAGAGTCAACCTCCATGGCCTCCAAAGTCATAGACTTTTAAATCCCTGGATGCAAATTACAGATAAAGGAATTCTGATTCAAAGAAGAAAGAATGTCATGAGAATCAGAACTTTGCAAAGTCAGAATGAACATTTTGGGGATTAAGTATTTACTTTGTAGACATATGGTGCATGTATGTATGTAGGTATATATATTTGAGGTGATGGATATACTAATTAGCCTGTTTTGATCATCCCACAATGTACACACATATTAAAACATCATCCCATACTTGATAAATATAAACAATTACTGCCACTTAAAAATACAATAAAATGTTAAAAGAGAAAAATTCCTTGAAATTAGGGGAAAAAAGCTTAAGCAAGATACCTTTTTAAGGTTCCACAAAAAAACAAAACATTATAAATCATAGGAAGTAACCTCTACTTTTACTGGAAAATATCAAATATCTAATCTTTGAAACCTAATGTTTTCTAAATTTTCTAGCCCATATTGAGTCTTTAATTTTCTGCATTGCTAGAATTCTGTCTTATAAATAAATTCTAGTTTTAAAAAAGCAGTTTCACAATTATCTGTAGGTCTTTCAATTGAGTTTTTATTCTAAATCAATTATTTGTTGGGACACTGAGGTCATATAAACTATTTCTCTTATGTACATTGTAGCACTTAGCACACTGATAGACAAAGAAGCAAATGTCCAATAAATACTGATTTTCTGTTTAATAGAAATCTCAGTCTAAGTCCAAGAAACTTCCTTGGAACAACGCTACTTTCTTCATATAGCCAAAGGTTGGAGAATAATATCGTCTAAGTATTTCAAAAGTAAAGATTTAAGTTCCCAACAATGGCACAAAAGACAACTTAAAAAGACTTACCTACCGACTGATCAAAAAGAATACTTAGAAAAAGTTGGAAAATTTAGTAGTAGGAATTTCCCCATACCAGAAGTATAATATACACTGCTTTTTTTCACAATTGAACTTCATACAAAAAATGTGCACTACAGAATGCTTATTGTATTTTGTATGTGTTCAATGACATTTATGTCATTACTAGAATAACTGTTTTCATTTCTACTACTAATGAATAAAGATTAATTCAGTTGTAATAATAGATTATATATAATTTGTCCTATATATGGCTTTTTGTTATTTCTCTGTATAAATTAAACTGCTTTCTATGACCCTTGCTCTACAAAAGTTAAAGCTAAATTTAAATAGGCCTTCCTTTTACTTACAAGAAAAACAGAAAAAGAACTCAATATAATCCTCTTTAAGCTTATGCAGCCTTTTTGAACTCCTGAACCTTTAAAATTTTGACTCTATTTTGAATTGCAAAGAAACAACTTTTTCAGAGTTTTAATTTAGTAAGACTTAAAGGCAAAAGAATGCATAATTAATCTCACTAATAAATTATTGCATTTTTCTCTTACCTGACAGGAAGGAAGAGAGGGAGAGAGGGAAGAAAACAAATATATCACAGTTCCAGGTAAGTGCAGATGATAATCTTTTGAAAAATCTTAAGGTCAAATATCCCTCTCCCAAAATATAAAGCCTAGCAGTGAAAAAACAGTTTGCAAATGAAAATGTCTGGGTTTGAATCCAGTGTCCACAATTAAGCAAACTATAGAAAGTTACTGAATCTTTCTTAATCTCAGTTTTCTCACTTATACAGGGTTTTAACAATATTATTTATCCTTGAAAATTTCTGAACATTTAATGACATAATGTACTTGAAGCCTTTTACACTAACTATACTTGGTACAGTGTAATTTCATTTAAAAATACAAGAACTAAAATATCTTCCAGAAGTTCTTTGATTCTTCTTTTAATGAATATTAGGATGTGTGCATATGGGGATTTAAAAACTATGTTATAATGGGAGAAATAAATCTAGTGTTCAATTTTAACATGCTTTTGTACTGATTTAATTAAAATATGCCATGTTAAATATAGAACTCTGTCTTCCATTCTTGACAGTACTACAATCCAAGTCACTAGATACTTTTATCATTTCCCATGAAAATTCCTAGAGTTGTCCTTCATTGACCCACTTTTAGGAAAATATGGTTTTGGTTTTTAAAAACATTTTTAAACTTACCCTGACACATGCAACATCAGCAGCATGTAGAAAACAAAGAAGAGGTTATGAGTATACCAGAAGATATCATAGTTGGAAACTCTGAAAAAAGCAAGTAAATTAGTTTCAATCCTACTTTACACTCCATCTCACTAAAAAAAGAGTATGTATTGCTACAAACATATAACTTCAGAAATCTAAAATGTTAATTTGTCTGAGAGTCATCTATTAATATCAAAGTATTAACCCATAATACAAAGCAAACTGACAAAAATTGTAACAATTTTTTTATAAGCTATGGAAACTTGTCTTTATTCATTCATCTGTTAATGGACATTTAGAATGAATGGTTCACTTTCTTGATTATTGTGAATGTGGGAATTTGGGATAGTGGGAATATGGTAGCATAGACGTCTTTTCTAGGTACTAAGTTAAATTCTTTGGATATATGCCAGTAGTGGGATTGCAAGATCATATGGAAGTTCTATTTTTAAGAAATCTCCGTATCTTAAAATTTTTTTAAGATTTTTATTTTATCATTATTTAGCATTGTGAAAGTTCTTTGAATTTCAAATGAAGACACATGCAAAGAATTAAAATAAGGTATATATTTTAAAGTTATGATGTAAGGCTGTGAAGTGTTCTGTATTATGGTTTTGCTGTCTTTTAATCAATGTTTAAAAACATTTTAATCAATGTTTTTACCTTTCAAAACCACTAATGTTCCTATCCCAATACATACTTTAAAACACATTCCAAGGAAACTCAAATGGAGAGATATTAAAATAAATGATCATGGTTTTATAGTCTTTTCTTGTGCAATGTAACTTAAGAATGATACTTCAGTGTTATTGTTCTGGAGGAGGACAGTCTTAAAAGAAGGTAAATGGTAAGTTCTATCTACTAAATGAGAGAAGTTATTTCATATGTCTAATGTGAGTATTTGTACCTTACAATCTTGAAGGTGGAGGGCAGGTGTTAGTAAAAGCTTCCTAGATGACGATTTCTCTCTTAGAAACTTTTAGAAATCCTCACTTAAGCAATGGCCAACTGCTTTACATTCATTCCATTCACGGTATTTGCAGTGATAAACACTATCATTAACATCCTTATAACATATGGTGTATATGTGTGTGTGTATATATATATGTTTTTTGCAAATATGATTCTTTTTAAAACAAAATTACTAGAATTGTAATTGCTAGATAAAAGGCTACATATTTGAAATGTTTTTGATACACATTGTCCAATGCTCTCTAAAAAAAATGCTTATTTATAACTCAGAGATAGAGTGTCCTGAGTTTGATCCCAAGGGCTGCAAAACATAAATAAAATTTAAAAAAAAATCTTTATTGATAACAAATCCAACTAGAGTAGGGCTGCCTGTTTCCCAAAACCTACACCCCACTCCATAAGTTACCATTATTTTTATGTGAGATTGATTTTATATGTATACTACTACTAATTCTTCTGTGACTTCCCCAGTCATAATTACCCATTTCTGTAGGGCATTTTTCAAAACTTGTACAAAAATCTTCTTATATCTTAAAGAATGGGATGACTCCTAGTGATTACAATAATTTTCCAAAATCATGATTTCATTTTCAGTTATTATAAGGTATACTGACATACAGAAGTTTTAGTTTTCATATTTGTACACAGTTAAATATATCCTGTATGATTCCCTGACATCTTTTTCTTTTCAGTACTGGGGTTTGAACTTTGGACCTACAACTTGAGCCACTCCACCAGCCCTTTTTTGTGACAGGGTTTTCAAAATAGTCTTGCGAACTATTTGCCTAGGCTAGTTTTGAACCACAATCCTCCGGATCTCTACCTCCTGAATTGTTAGGATTACAGGAGTGAGCCACTGGTACCTGGCCTCTGTGATCATACTGAGATTTCATACTTACTTAAAGTTTCTTAAATTTTCACAGTATTTTTTACAGTTAACTCTATAAGTTGTTTAGAATTTCATTTGCTTATCCTTACTTTCTTCATAAGTTTATAATGCACTTTTATGATTTAACAGGTTTTAAACAATAGGAAGGTCCCTAATGGGGCTTTCTATCTATGCTGACCCTTGGTTTTTTTCTGCAAGAATGTCCTACACTTTGTAAGCTACTGATGCTTAATCAATGCAATGTTAACTTAGCAAGGCACATCTCTTCTTTCCCTCCCTTCACAACATACACTTGACGGTTACCTCTGAATCGCTTTACTAAATTCAGAAAACTAGCTGTCCATGATTTCTTTAAAATTGCAACAAACCTAAGATACAATTCAGGAATAAGTACACCTTTATATATACAGTGTTTATTCAAATCCCTATTTATGCTTCTCTCCGTGAACTTAAGTGGATTTTTCCTACTCTCGGTTTCTTATTATTACAAGACATTTTACATTTTGATGCAATTGTGAGTGGTGTATTTTAATTTTTTCAATTTTCAAACCAATTATACCTAGTATAAAGAAGAGTTTTTTAAATACTTATTTTCTATTTGATTACCTTTTGCAAATATCTACTTGCTGTTAATAATAATTTTTCTACAATTCCTGTGTATATTCTGAATAGACAGTATATCTACTTTTCTGGATATAGTGACAATATGGTTGCTTTTTTTAAAATAATTTCTTAACATACATAAATAATGATGGAATTAAAAGTGTCACCCTGGCCTTTTCTGAGTTTTCGAGATATATATCTATAGTTTTATTGTTAATTATGCTCTCAATTCTACCTTTTATATTTCCTAATTCAGTAAAGGAAATATTTTAATTCCTGGCTTATTTACTATGATTATCTTTATCCATAAGTAAAGCTCATATTTAAAAACTTTCATTTTACAATCTGTTGAGATGAGAAATGTTTATATTTCTTTTATCTCTGAAGACTATTACCTATTTTAATAGATTGATACATATTAAATCATGCTTGAATTAACAGACTACCTTCCACTATGAGAAGCCAAATATTGGAGCCATATTTATTTACCTAATTTCTCTAACACTTCATTGCCCCAACGATAAACAGGAAAAGTAGACTATCTCTATGACCCATTTCAGAAAAAAATGATTACAACTATAAAGCTTAGAGAAAAGCAAATTAAGTGTTATAATGTTCTTTAAACAGATTAGAAAAACTAAAGGCTAACATGTTCTATGAACTGTTCATGAGAACAAATACAAAGACTTAGTTGGGAATATAGGCTGATATATGCCATTTAACAAAACTATCCTTACATTCTGGACATTTTTTAGAGGAAAACACCTACATAGCTTCAATTCTGTAAATAAATATGTCAAATGCACAAATTTTCTCTCAAAAACTCTTAAAACTATAAAAACTAATAAATTCTTTCACTACATAAGACAGAATTTCTCCCCACAAAATTGATGCCTTCATGTACTAATAGTATTTTTCTTTTCTGTGAGGCCATTTTCAATTCTTATGAAAAGTTTTTAAAATGAGCCTATCATTTGACCCAGCTACTCCACATCTAGGAATTTCTCCTTAGGACATGTGGATGGAGGTTCAGAATTCACTTTTGAAGATACAGAATCAACCAAAACAGCCAACAGTATGGGCCTAGGAAAATAATGTGTACCTACGTGGGAATACACTCACTGTGCTATCAGTAAAGAGCAAATACTCCGCCATCATCATAATAAGAAATATTAATATGAAAAAATGTTCAGAACATATACCTAAATAAAAGGCAGACTGAAAACATTACAATGTGACCTCGTTTGGGGAAAACACATAGGTACATGAAGACAGAAATATTAAAAGTGTGAGAAAGAGTGATTTTGGTAGGAGTAGGAAGAGGGGAATTAGTAAACATGAGCAAGAAAGGGTTAAGTCTGAAAAACAGACACTATAACAGGGTGCTGGTGGCTCATGCCTGTAATCCTAGCTACTTGGGAGGCTGAGATCAGGAGGCTAGCAGTTCAAGGCCAGCCCAAACAAAAAGTTGGCAAGATCCCCATCTTAACAAATAGCCAGGGCTCAGGGGCACATACCTGCCTCCCATCAACATGGGAGGCTAAAATCAGGAGGATCAGGGTTCCAGACCAGCCCAAGCAAAAAAAGTCACAAAACCCCATCTCAATGGGGAAAAAAGATGGGTACTCGGTGTGCCTTTCAACCCAGCTATTTTGGGAAGGCTAAAATAGGAGGATCACAGTCCAGGCCAGCTTGGGCAAAAAGTGAGACTCTTATCTCAAGAATAGGGTCAAGTGTAGGTGTGGCTCAAATTGTTCAGCACCTGCCTAGCAAAGCACAAAGCCCTGAGTTCAAACCCCAATACCACCAAATACATAAACAAACACTACAACATTTATAATGATAATCTCTAAATTTAGTTGTGAGGGTTCGGGGGGAGGATCTATGTAGTAAGTAGACATGTATAGAAGTGCAAGGTGGATAGACTCACTGGAACTTATTATTGGGCAATCATTTTCAAGGCATATATGTTTGTGTGTACTTTCATTAAACCTCACATCTCAGCCAACAGAATAGCTAACTTTTGAAAAGTATAAGAAATATGTTACAGTTCTTTTTATTTTCCTTAAATAAAAAGTTTGATCATAAACATAGGATGCTAAAAAATTTTGAAAACAGAGTGCGTCCACCAGAAAGAACACATGAAAGTGCCCCCAAAAATGTATATCTGAAATTGGTCAAAATCTTCTAACTGGAAAAACTCAATATGAATACAGGCATTTCCAATATTTTATCAGATGTTCATCAGCCATGTCTCCAAAGTTTTATTTGGAAGACTATGGTAAATTACAGAAAAAAAATACCATAACTAAAAAGTCATGAGTAAATTATCTTTATCTCAAACTAGCAAAACACCATGTTTCTCTAAAAAAAAAAGTTAAATACTCCTAGGAGTCCCACAGTCCACAGTCCATGAGTTACAGTTGAATTCATCCCATTTCCTGCAATCCTTCAGAAGGATGACCCAGAAGAACTCAAAATTCTTTGGTCATCAAGTGAAATCTCTATACACAATTCCAGAAAATCTGGCTAATACAAAGATAATTTTCAAAAACAAAAACTGATATGGAAGAATGTCTCTACCTCAGTCTTTGTGATCCTGAATAGCTCATTAACCCAGACACTGCCATGGTTAATACTTTGGTTAATCAAGACTTTTCCTGTATGTGAAAATGAAGATAATCTGAAGAAAATCTAAATAATGTGGCCTGGTTCATAACAAAATAGTGAGTGACACTTACCTTATTGCATAGGTAGAAGCTGTAACCATGAGGAAGAGCACTAGCACCATGCAGACCCCAGTCAGGCCAGGAACTGGAAAATGTACACAAGTTCATCTTAAATTAAATCAAATGGGGAAAAAAGTACAGAAAAAAATTACTTTCAAATCCGAAGTACTATGTTGTGCTATGGGAAGCTGAAATCAAGTTGTATATTTGCATGTCTCTTCCCTCTTGATCAAGCCTTTTTAAAAAATCATCACAGTTACAAAGTACTAAGAAAAAGGACTCTTTTCTTCCTTTAATAGAAGAGTCCATTTTTATATTCCCAAACAGTCCACTCAGAATGGTGAGCGGGCACTTGCTTCTACAGATTCATATAATCCAGATGTCAGCACTCCATTAAGGTAACAGGCAGCATCAGCTCCCTCACCACTTCTGCTTTCTCCATCATAGTACTCAATCCCCTACTCTCTCCTCTCTCCTTCTATGGAATTAGTAGTCCCATCAGTTTTAATTTTAAAAAAATTGTATTTGGCCTTCACTGTTCAAACTATTCCAGGAATAGGGAAGGGAGATAAAGGAGAATGAAGGAGGGGATGAATTCAACTATGATATAATGTAAGAATTTTTGTAAATGTCACAAGGTTCCCCCAGCACAACAATAATAAATAAACAATAAATAAATAAAGATTTATTTATTTAATAAATAAAGCTTTTCAAAAATCAAAAATGCAAACAAAAATTGTAGATTTCAAAAAAAATTTGCTATGCTAAAGTTTTAAAAACACCTGTAGTCATATTTCCTTAGTGTGGAAAACATGCTACAGTTACTGCTTCTGAAATAGCACAATTTTTAAAAAAGAAAATGAAAAAACATCTTGTCAAATAAATGATACGATAAGATTATCATAAACTTATCAATAGACTGTATAGCACATCAAAAAGGAATACCTGATATTCCATACCAAACGCAGCTAAAACACCAATAGGCGCCTTTCTTACTACCAAATTAAATACCCTGTCTTTGTTACAATTTTTCACTCTTATTATACAAGCAACATCAAGTCCTAAATGCCCCATCTGAGAGACTCTTGAATTGGGTCACAAAGCAAAACTCCTGGAACAATCCTGTCTGTTGAAGCAGGTACCAGCTCCCCGCCCCCAATCCTTCTCTCTCATCCTATGTGAACTGTAGAGGAGTCATCACAGACTGAGTCCCTTGTAAAAGCAACCAAGCTGGGTACAGTCCAAGACCAGCATGGGTGTTTCTTATCTGGTTTCCAGAGGGTTTAGAATCATTGGAAAATAAGAACATTTAGAATGCACAGAATAGTTGGAACAAATTCCATTTGGGAAGAGATGCATGAAATATGAGGGCAACACTTGCATTTTTAACACTTAAATACTTTCTTCTCCTCACTTTTCCAAGATACAGATTTAGAACCTCTCCCCATGCACCTAATCCAAATTATGTGTTCCCTACACTTCCTTCTGTCCCATCACTTTTTCTAATTCTTTCAGGTAAGTGCTCACTTCCTAGGGGCCAGAGAAGAAACTAATCTAGTTTACATCAAAGGATGAAAGCACAAAAAAATACTATTTTTAAAAACAGCATGCTCTTGGGCCTGATACAGTGGCTCACACCTGTACTCCCAACTACTTGGGAGGTGGAGATAGGGAGGATCCCAGATTGAGGCTAGCTGGAGGAAAAACTTAGTGAGACTTTCAGCTCAACAAACCAGGCATGATGGGTCATCCCAGGTACATGAGATGTATAGGTAGGAGGATAGTTGTCTGAGGCTGGATCCAAGCAAAAAATAAACCTACCTGAAAAACAAACTAGAACAAAAATGGCTGAGGATATAGTGCCTGCAAGTGCAGGGTCCTGAGTTAAAACCCCAGTACTGCATAAATAATAAACAGATTATATATATTTAAATGGTATGTACCCAGAATGACCTAGCTATTGCTACTCAAACAAATATATACCCCAAGATTTGCTCAAGATTGTTCATAGCTGCTTTATCCTTAAATAGTCACAGTTATAAATAACTTAGACCTCCACCAACATGTGACTAGGGAAACAATTGTGATATTAGCTTTATAGGGAAAATTAATCAGCAAAAAAAACATAGATAAATCCTAGAATTATTAGGCTGAAAGAAGCCAGACTGCCTCACCCCACAGAAAGTATAAGCTCTATGATGACTTTTTATATAAACATCCAGAAAATCCACATCACTCTTCAGTGACAGAAAGCAGATCAGGTGCTGGGAGGAATGAGAACAGAATGCATCATTGAGGGGCACAAAACTTGAAAATATTTGTGATCTTAATTTTGGTGATGGTTTGACCTAATCTATATGCATCTATATTAAAGCCAATCAAGTTACATACTTTACATATATGTGTAATTTAGTAAAATGTAATTCAATAAACTTTAAGTGAAAAAAAGAGAAGATTAGTCTCCGGTTTAAGTAACTTGGAAAAAAAAATAAAGACCTTTATTTGACCAAATGAACAAGTGTGAGAATCCCAAATGGCTACGTGGTGTGAAATTTGTGGTTGGATGGCTTCTCCGGTAATTTTGTTGGGCCTTTACTAATATTACACTACTTCTGTATATCAGACATTCTATATTGTTCTGAATATTCCATGATTAGTTATGGAATGTCTGCAAATCACCTCATTAGAAAGACACCTGAAAAAACTAGGTGTGTTTAGCAGAAAGCCACAATTTCCCAAGTGTATTATTTGAACATTAATTTCTAGAGACATTAATTTATATTACTCAAAAATGTTAGCTGCATATGGTAGCCCATACCTATAATCCCAGCTCTCCAGGAGGCAGACCTAGGAGGATCATGATCTAAGGCCAGCCAGGGAAAAAGCATGATGCCCTATTAGAAAAATAAACTAGAGCAAAAGGCATTGGGGAGTGGCTCAAGTGGTACAGCACCTGCCTAGCAAGCACAAGGCCCTGAGTTCAAACCCTAGCACCACCAAAAAAAAGTCACATAATCATTTTTTGAGGAGTCACATGCTGTATTAGAGTACTAAAGTCCTTTGGACATACTAAAGTCAAGAAATGCATTTAAACTTAAATATTTTCTCAAATTTATTTGATCAGAGAATTTGTTCTAGAACAGACTATTGAAAACACACTAAAAGACTTAGGGTGAAATGGCTGACTTCAGTCACGTGAAGATGAAGTAGACATTCCAGACACACAGCAGAGCTTACAGTCCTGGGCAGGTGTTCCTAGGCAAAACTCTAATCCCACACAAACTAACGAGAACAAATTCAACAACTTCTAGTATTCATCTTAATTGGAATTAGCCACTGAGTATTTTATTGTCACCATATAAGGTGCTACTAAATTTGTGTGTGTACATGTATATATTTATAAATATTTACATATCTATATTTATATACATATATATTTGTATATATATATATATATATATATATATATATATATATGTATCTCAGCATTTTGAGGTGACTGGGTAATCCAAACTATTAAACTGATTTTATAAATTCTTAATCTAAATACTTCAACTATTTCCTGTGTAGCAAGTCTAATTATCATTAACTTTTTTTTCTTTCTGTGTCCCCAAATCATTAGAAGACTAGAATTCAAACAAGGGATGTGCTCACTAGCAAAGCACATACCCAAGACCTTGGGTTCAATCCCCAGCACTACATAAAAAATACTAGCAGTCATAATTTATAAGTGGTAGATTTCAGATCAATAAAGAAGAAAAACATAACTACAAATAAAAAACAGTGCTTTAATATAATTAGAGTACTTTTTTAAAGGAGGAGAGAAAAACTTAAGCAGCCCCAATTCCAGTCATAGGAGTCAACAGCAGAGACCGGCCCCTCTGTTTCCTGGGATGCTGTGAGGTGCATGTGTCAAAACAAAGTTAAAAATGGCTTTGATATGCTCAGTTAATGTTTTTGGGCATTTATAGTGCACTAATTATTAAGTGCTTGTCCACTGGGGGAGCCAGGCAGACTAAGGTGATTGCAGCCTAGGGGATTGTGCACTGAAAGAGAAATGAGCACTGTTTCCTGGGTGCAGGGACGGACACCCTGTCCTAGCCATGGCTGCCAGCTCCACCATGTTCCAGTGCCTGACCGCACATCACTACACTTCCCAAGAGTCAAGACAAACAAGCTAAACATTACGAGGCTAGTGTTAAGTGCATTAGGCAAAGCTGCTTGCCTAAGTGAATTACTCTTATTTTCCTGTGAACCATTGAGCCCTTGAAGTTACAAAACCAAATACACACTTGGTTTTATAGGAAAATACAAGTTTTCCCAATTAGTCCTGTTTCTATTTATCCATGAATACTAACATTCACGAATTACTAGCTTTTAAAAATGAAGAACTGTGCCACACTATCATTTTTAGGTGAAGTTGAGAACCATTGTTACTCATACTTAAGGGGTCAGAAATATACCATCTTCTATGCATTCTCCTACTTCTGAATTTTTCTTCTTCTTTTATTAGCATATGTTAATAGTACAAGGGGGCTTCATTGTGGTAATTCCATAGGTACGTACAGTGTACTTTGAACATATTTGCCCCTCTATTATATATCTTTAACAACCCTTTTTCCTTCCCTTCTTTTTAAAACAGTGTTTAGTGGTGAAATTATGTATGTATCAGTTGGTTTGAGTGTGTGCATGTGTGTAATATACTTTGTCGTTTTTTCTTTGTTGTCTGTTCTGCCGTACTGGGGTTTGACCTCAGGACCTACACTTTGAGCCACTCCACCAGCCCTTTTTTGTGATGGGTTTTTTCAGATAGGGTCTTGCAAAGTATTTACCCAGGCTGGCTTTGAACCTCGATCTTCCTGATCTCTGCCTCCTGAGTAGCTAGGATCATAGGCATGAGTAACCAGAACTGGCCTGTAATGTACTTTGAACTTCTTCACCTCCTAATCCCCTCTTTTTACCCTCCAACTCCCACAAATCTCTCCCAGTCTCCTTTTCACATTTATGTCCCATTATTATAAATACCATCATTATCATCATCATAGACTTAGTTTCTGCCTATGAGCAAAAACATGTGATGTTTGC